CCAGAGACTTCTAGGTGAAAGTCATGTTCTTTTGCCAATCAGCCAGATGCATATCGCTGTGGAAAAATAGCCAGACGGAATTTGGTCACACCACATTTACTGTACTTTACCCTTAATAGCTTCCCTTTTTCATTAAATATTTGCATGATCCATTTTATTAAGCTGTCACTAATCTATTTATGACATGTTACTAAACTGTAAATAATGGTATGATTAAAGTATCTGATTTTCTTTTATTACTGCTACCAAATATGGGAATAAAAGGTGATTAATCAGCTTGTAGAAGCACCTGTTAGGTTCTCCAGCAGCATGTGGAGTACCGCCATGGTGAGAGCGATCTGCGGGGGGGTAAACTTGGCCTCTTTAGCCCAACAGAATCCAGACTGATAGAAATCAAAGAGGACGGCGTCTCTGTTGCAGGTCCAGCTCTTGGTGAAGCCCAGAACCTTTTCCATTCTACTGCAAACAGAGGAGTGATGTAGATTAGGCTGCTGCAGCAGGACAGTCAGGAACACAATGCTAACAGAACTCATCTTACAGGGACCCTAAGAACCAAACAAGTTCCCGTTCGCTGTTCCAGACTCTATTTCTGTAAGTATTTAGCCTGCTGGATGGTTTGAAGGGATCTTTGCCTCTTGAGTCCTTTCCTAGTTTTTATCATGATCTATTTTGGCTGCTTAGTGTCCTGATCTGAGCTCCTCTGCTGCCATCCATCACTGAGGCTCTGGATCAGAAAGGTCAGAGCTGACTCTTCCTGCTGAGGAGACTGAGGGGGCGCTCCTAAAGACCTTCTATGACTCTGCTGTGGCATCAGCCATCTTCTATGGAGCTGTCTGTTGGAGCAGTGCTGATCTGTAGCTGAGAGGAAGCGTCTGGATCAGCTGATCAGGAAGGCCAGCTCTGTGATTGGATGTCCTCTGGACTCTGGAAACAGACGGATCCTAACTAAATGAACATCTCTGTTGGATAACGTCTCTCCCCCCCATGCATGAAGCTGGTGCTGAACTAGAGAGCTCCTTCAGTGAAAAGACTGCTGCTCCCTAAATGCACCAGGGAGCGTTATCACAGATCCTTCCTCCCAGCAGCTGGAAGATTCTAGAACCACCACTGTTCCCAACAACCTCAATCAGTTGTTCCATTCATGCTGATTTTGCAGTTTCTACCTTAGTCAGTTAAATAACCTGCTGCCGTCATTCTGCACATCTCTGATGTTGCTGCTATTTTCAAATATCCATTACTGGAAAAATGCCCATTGCTGTATATTGGTTATTTATTCTCCAGTTTTATATTGTTAAAACACTTTACAGGATTTTATTGTTTATCTTTTAACTCTTCACTATTATATTATTCTTATAAATTTTTCTAAGGTCCACATTGTGTGACAATTTTTTTACAATCTTTTTGCACCAGAATTTCCCCATTATGGGTCAATAAAGGGATTTTCTATTCTATTCTATTCTATTCTATTCTATTCTATTCTATTCTATTCTATTCTATTCTATGATTGTTCTTCTGCATCTCAGCTTTCTGCTGTAAGATGATGATGTTGCAGTTTTTCACTGATTGAGCCTCTGACTGCAGACGGATGCTCATCCTGCCTGTGGTGCCCGGGGTCCACGGTTCTCCATATTTGAGATGTTTTATGGAGAGGATCTTGTTCCATTACTGTTTTATTATTTTATTATTGCAAACAACACATTCTGTAAATGACATTTGAAAAAGACGGAACCCAGAATTAAAACTTTTAAAAAGTTTTGAAAGAATCGTCGCTGTTTTCTCAGAATTATGTTTTTCTCAATCTTTTAACATTTATTTTGCACATTTTATTTTTTTTTTTATTCAAATTTTGTTTTTTTTAAACC